ATTTTTATTTTGTGGACTAAGTCAAATCTTATGAGGGCCAAATCAATCATTAGGTACTTTCTTGACTATTGTTACTCTAACATTCACCTGGACAGTGTTTTGTAGATCTACTAATGTGGTATGTATTCCATGTGATGTCCTAAATGTGTTATGATTGCTTATGAAAGCTTTTTTTTTTTTTTTGCCAGTCATGGTGCCTGAACTCTGGGACTGGGCACTGTCCCTCAGCTCTTCAGCTCACTTCCAGCTTTTTCTGCTTATGTGGTGTTGAGGAGTCGAACCCAGGGCCTCATGCATGCAAGGCGAGCACTCTACCAATGAGCCACCTTCCCAGCCCCTATGAGAGCATTTTTAAATAAGATCTAAATATGCTTTTCATTGAGGCAGAATATGAACATGCAGAAATAATTATTTACTTCATTGTTACCCTGATATTTAGTGAATTTTATCAAAATAAGCTAAACACACTCTTTGAGACACCTACTTAGATTAAATGTTGTCATGCCAGAGTATTAGCTCCTTAGAATTGTCATCTTGTCTCTATTGCTAGCACCAGAAATGTGTTCTGATGAATTAGGGAAACTTCGTATTTATAATTACCTAATTAATATAGAGGCAAACATTTCTACTTTGATTTTCCTTCTCTCATGGTATAGATAATACCTCAAGTCCCAAATACTTTATTTAAGACAAAAGTATACATGTAGAAGAATTAAATTCCAGACTTGATGTACTCATGAGTCAGGGCTTTTACTTCAATTGTGTCATTACAGAAACTGGTGTCATTTGATGATGTGGCTGTGGACTTCAGCTGGGAGGAGTGGCAGGACTTGGATTTTTCTCAGAGGACCCTGTACAGAGATGTAATGCTGGAGACCTACAACAACCTGGTGTCTTTGTGTGAGCAAAAGTCACATTCATTTTCTAGGTCAAGTGATTTGTTTTTAGTAGATATTTGAATATTTATCAAATTTTCAATGCTATTTGGATGGTAGATTCCAGTCCATGGGAAGTGTCATTTCTTTCTAAGGAAAACTTCAACTTCATTATGTAACTCCTGAGGCATTTTTGTTTGTTTGGATTTTTTTGGGGGGGTCCAGTCATGGGGCCTGAATTCTGGGCCTGGGCGCTGTCCCTCAGCTCTTCAGCTCAAGGCTAGCGCTCTACCACTTGAGCCACAGCGCCACTTCCGGCTTTTTTCTTTTTGCTTATGTGGTGCTGAGGAATAGAACCCAGGGCCTCTGGCATGCAAGGCAAGCTCTCTACCACTGAGCCACCTTCCCAGCCCCCCTGAGGCATTTTTATTCTCATTTTTCAAGCTGCCAAATCAGCAGTTTGACAAAAGTTCTAAACTATGTTCCAGTAACAGGAGACATTCTTCCCCAAACTTGAGGCAATTATTGTAGGGTGACATACAATGTAGAGTAGAATGCATATGACTATTGGAAATATGATCTGGAAAATCATAGTTGAAAGTGGGTATTTATCATTCAAATATGGCACTGGGTGCAGTGGTTCATGCCTATAATCCTAACTAATCGGGAGGCTGAAATCTCAGGATTTCAGTTTGAAGCCAGAAATTGCACCTAAGTCCCCACAAGACTCTTATCTCCAGTTAACCACTCAAAAACTGGAAGTGGAGCTGGGACTCAAACTGGTACTAGCCTTGAGCAAAAGAACTGAGTTCAAGCCACACTACTGGCAAAATAAATCCAAATGGGGGGAAAGTCAACTATGGAGCCAGTGAGAAATGAGAAACAAGATTTAGTAGCAACCTTGTGAATGGGATGTCTGAGATTTTTTTTTTTTTTGGTCGGTCGTGGGGCTTGAACTCTGGGCCTGGGCGCTGTCCATCAGCTCTTCAGCTCAAGGTGAGCACTCTACTGCTTGAGTCACAGCACCACTTCTGGTTTTCTAGTACTTTATTGGAGATAAGAGTTCCATGGACTTTCCTGCCCGTGCTGGCTTTGAACCATGATCCTCAAATCTCCAGTGTCTTGAGATTTTACAGCAATGATGACCCAGCATGAGCAACAGTTCACTGGTTCTTATTAGCAGGGCCCTGTGTTCCTAAACCTAACTTGATTGTCAAGCTGGAAGAAGGTGCAGAACCATGGATAGGAGAAGCCTCAGACAAGAATTTCACAAGTGAGTTAATGCACCTTGCATGGTGATGTTGGATTGACAGCTTGGTTGGTGAGTTCATCTTGCACTATACTGAGTAATAATGTTCCGACTTCCCGAGTCCTGAGTGTGGCAGAGAACTAGGTGATCTTTTGTCTCAAAGACTTGTGAATCCAGAATTCATATGGAGACATACTGAACTCTGTGTGGCAGCAGAGTTAAAGTTAGCAATTCTCTTTTTGCAAAAATCGTTCCAAAACAAAAAATTAAAATGAGAAATTTAGAATATGAGAATTCATTTTCTTTAAAACTAGGATTGTGCTGGTATGAAAAATAAGTAGTATGCCAGGGTTGCTATCCTTTAATAAGGAAAATAGCTTATCAGTGGTGGGCAAATATTGGGATTCAGAAGCAAAGCATTTAGTCTAAAATGGATGATTAATTAGGTGGTAAGCCAGAGTATCTTTGGTCCGCCAAGGATCTAAGGTAGGAGTGTCAGCAAAGGAACTTTTTTGAGCAGTGGGTTTGAACTCTGGACTTGGGTGCTGTCCCTCAGCTCTTCAGCTCAAGGCAAGCACTCTACCACTTGAGCCACAGTGCCTCTTCTGGTTTTCTAGTGGTTTATTGGAGATAAGAGTCTTAGGGACTTTCCTGCCCAAGCTGGCTTTTTTTTTTTTAATTGTGAAAATACCATACAGAGGGGTTACAATTATAAGGGCAAGATTATGAGTACATTTCTTTTTTTTTTTTTTTTTTGGCGGTTGTGGGGCTTGAACTCTGGGCCTGGGCGCTTGTCCCTCAGCTCTTCAGCTCAAGGCGAGCGCTCTACCACTTGAACTACAGTACCACTTCCGGTTTTCTAGTGGTTTATTGGAGATAGGAGTCGGAATCTCAGGTCTCTCCTGCCCGGGCTGGCTGGCTTTGAACCGCGATCCTCAGATCTCAGCCGCCTGAGTAGCTAGGATTACAGGCGTGAGCCACCAGTGCCCAGCTAAAAAAGGAATTTTGATGAGACTTTGTCTAAGCTGAAAAGAAATGAATTTTAAAACTCCCACAGATAAAACTAGTAATTCTTACTGAGAAATTAAAACAAAAGAGATTTAGGTAGCAATACTTTCAAGAACCATTCCTGCTTAGGTGAAAGGCAAGGGTATGTATAAAATACTCTTTATGGCCTCTAAATCTAGTAACTATTCCTGTTTCTCATCTAATAGTTGAAAAACAAAGTAGCAAAATGCATTTTTCAAGAAAATAAAAGGAAACAAAGTAGATATTCCCCTATGATAAAACAAAACAATATTTGAAAAACACAACCACGAGAATACTAAAGAAAAAAGGTCAGTACTCAGCTTAAATCTCTAGCCATACAAAGTTGAATTACGTAAATATTTTTCCTGATGTAAAAAGAAGAAAAAACTGAAACACAGAAAAAAGTAGTTTCCATTGTAAAATACCAGTTTACTCTCTTAATTAATATACTAGGTAAAAGACTATATATTTTTTCATAAATCTATTCCTACTTTGATACATAGTTTTTTGTCAGTCCTAAGGCTTGAACTTAGGGCCTGCGCACTGTCCCTGAGCTTCTTTTGTACAATACTAGCACTCTACTACTTGAGTCACAGTGCCACTTCTGGCCTTTTCGGTTTATGTGGTACTGAGGAATCAAACACAGGGCTTCATGAATGCTTGGCAAGCACTCTAACACTAAAACATATTCCTAGCCCCATACTTTGGTATTTTAAGTCTATCAGGATGGGAGAAAATGTCTTTTTTTTGTGTGTGTGAAGATACTGTACAGAGGGGTTACAATTACATGGGCAAGATAATGCGTACATTTCTTACCAAGCATTGCAGCCTCCTCCTTTTGTTTACCCTTCACATCCCTTCCCAGCCTCCCCCCTCACCCCCAATCCCAATCTTTCTCCTTTCCCCCCTTCCCCCCCCACCCCCGCACCAACGTTGTAAAGCTCGTTTTGGACATCTCAACTTGTACTTCTCATTGTTGCAACAGGTCCACCTGTATCTTTAAACAACTGGTTTTTCCCCATCTCCTCCTCAAGTTATACTGACATCAAATATAGTGAAAGCAGGGGTTATACTGTGGGGGAGGGACATACCAAGCGAGAAAATGTCTTTACCTTTACATAAAGGGATTTTTTGTTCTTATTTATGTTTTTTTTTCTATGACTCATTTTAGATGTTCAAGAAATGGAAGATATGATTAAGACCTTCCAGGAAAGTCCAAATGAGTATCTTTGTAAAGTATCTGTCACAAATAATAACTCAATAGAAGAAAGTATGAGAACTTTCAATTTGAGTTTAAAACATAAGCCAGAGCTGATTAGTAGTAGTAGTAATGGGAACTCCTTAGGGATGAGGACTGAAGAGATCATTGAGTGTCAGAACATGCTTCTCTGTAGTGAATCTGATGAGATGCAGGCTACATATAGGCCTGGTCTGTTTCCTGTAGTTGAAAAATCCCTGAGATATTTGGAGTATTCTAGTCAAACTGATGAGCAGCAATTTTTTGAATATGGTAGAGAAAGAAAGGTATTTAAATCAGAGACCATATTTTTTAGACATAATTGTATTTATATGGGACAGCTTTCCTGTAACCATAATGAATATAGAGAAGACTATGATAAGTCTATTCTCCTTGCCCAAGAAATACTTCATGGACAGAGGAAAACACCTGAATGCAATGGATGTGGAAAAAGTTTCGATTTAAGTAGTATAGTCACTACACATCAGAAAATGTACACAGGAGAATATCCTTATACATGTAATGAATGTGAAAAACCTTTTAGTAAGGAAATTCACCTTACAAAACCCCAGAGCAAATATGCAGAGAAGTCCAATGAGTATATCCAATGTGAAAAATCTATCTGTCAGAAGTCAAACCTGACTTTCTCACCTCAAACACCCACAGAAAAGAAACCTTATCAATATGAGGGATATAGGTCAATTTACACCCAGAAGTCAGCTCTCAACCAGTATCAGAGAAGTCATACAGAAGAGAGAACTTACGAATGTGACAAATGTGGAATGTCTTTCAGACTGAAGTCATACCTCACTTTACATGAGAGAATACACACAGCAGAGAAAACTTATGAATGTATCGAGTGTGGAAAGTCTTATACCCAGAAGTCGCAACTTACTGTCCATCAGAGATCACACACAGGAGAGAAACCTTATGCATGTAATGTGTGTGGAAAGTCTTTCACCCAGAAGATACACCTTACTAATCATCAGCGAAGACACACAGGAGAGAAACCTTATGAATGTAATGTGTGTGGAAAGTCTTTCACCCAGAAGATACACCTTACTAATCATCAGCGAAGACACACAGGAGAGAAACCTTATGAATGTAATGTATGTAAAAAGTCTTTCATCCAGAAGATAAACCTTACAAATCTTCAGCAAAGACACACAGGAGAGAAACCTTATGAATGTAATGTATGTAAAAAGTCTTTCACTAGGAAGGGAGAGCTTAATGTCCATCAGAGAGTACACAAAGGAGAGAAACTTTATGAATGTATTGAGTGTAGAAAGTCTTTCATCAGGAAGTCATACTTTAACATCCATCAGAGAATACACACAGGAGAGAAACCTTATGAATGTAATGTGTGTGGAAAGTCTTATACCCAGAAGTCGCAACTTACTGTCCATCAGAGATTACACACAGGAGAGAAACCTTATGAATGTAATGTGTGTGGAAAGTCTTTCACCCAGAAGATACACCTTACTAATCATCAGCGAAGACACACAGGAGAAAAACCTTATGAATGTAATGTGTGTGGAAAGTCTTTCACCCAGAAGATACACCTTACTAATCATCAGCGAAGACACACAGGAGAGAAACCTTATGAATGTAATGTATGTAAAAAGTCTTTCACTAGGAAGGGAGAGCTTAATTCCATCAGAGAGTACACACAGGAGAGAAACTTTATGAATGTATTGAGTGTAGAAAGTCTTTCATCAGGAAGTCATACTTTAACATCCATCAGAGAATACACACAGCAGAGAAACCTTATGAATTTATCGAGCGTGGAAAGTCTTATACCCAGAAGTCGCAACTTACTGTCCATCAGAGATTACACACAGGAGAGAAACCTTATGAATGTAATGTGTGTGGAAAGTCTTTCACCCAGAAGATACACCTTACTAATCATCAGCGAAGACACACAGGAGAGAAACCTTATGAATGTAATGTGTGTGGAAAGTCTTTCACCCAGAAGATACACCTTACTAATCATCAGCGAAGACACACAGGAGAGAAACCTTATGAATGTAATGTATGTAAAAAGTCTTTCATCCAGAAGATAAACCTTACGAATCATCAGCAAAGACACACAGGAGAGAAACCTTATGAATGTAATGTATGTAAAAAGTCTTTCACTAGGAAGGGAGAGCTTAATGTCCATCAGAGAGTACACACAGGAGAGAAACTTTATGAATGTATTGAGTGTAGAAAGTCTTTCATCAGGAAGTCATACTTTAACATCCATCAGAGAATAAACACAGGAGAGAAACCTTATGAATGTAATGTGTGTGGAAAGTCTTATACCCAGAAGTCGCAACTTACTGTCCATCAGAGATTACACACAGGAGAGAAACCTTATGAATGTAATGTGTGTGGAAAGTCTTTCACCCAGAAGATACACCTTACTAATCATCAGCGAAGACACACAGGAGAAAAACCTTATGAATGTAATGTGTGTGGAAAGTCGTTCACCCAGAAGATACGCCTTACTGAACATCAGCGAAGACACACAGGAGAGAAAACTTATGAATGTAATGTATGTAAAAAGTCTTTCACTAGGAAGGAAAACCTTAATGTCCATCAGAGAGTACACACAGGAGAGAAACTTTATGAATGCATTGAGTGTAGAAAGTCTTTCATCAGGAAGTCAGACCTTAACATCCATCAGAGAATACACACAGGAGAGAGGCCTTATGAATGTAACAGGTGCAGAAAGTCCTTTACCAAGAATTCACACCTCATCAAGCATAAGAGAATTCACACTGATGAGAAATCGGGAATGTAAGAAATGTGGTGAGTCTTTGACCTGGAAGACAATTAAGTTTACATCAGAGAACTCACACAGAAGAGAAGCTTTATGCATGTAGCAAACTTGCAGCCTTTTACCCAGAAGCCACAGCTCTGATTTCTTCATTGGACACCCACATTAAAGAAATTTTATGAAGAAACAAATGTGGAAAGTTTTTGAAGAAGTCATACCTCAGTTTGCATCAGAAAACACACACAGGAGAAAAACATAATGACCATCCTCTCTCAGCATCTTATCGCTGTCAAAAGCCTCAAGGGAGCCTTCATGATCCATAGGTGACCCACCTGTGACCAGTGTACTATTTGGCTCCCAAGATGGCTCAGCACACAGAACATCCTGAGCCAATTGCCACTTGATATCTGTGCCAAGAATTAACTTTTCTTCAACTGATGAACCCTGATGAGCAGTTAAACTAAATTATGGATGCCTTGTGTCCTACTGAACTGTTGCTTGGAGGATGGTGACACGTTTCTGTGAATTGCTGATTTGCACCAGAGTTAGCAAGGGGACAAGGTCAGCTGAGAATAGGTACTCTCCTGGTCAGGTCCTCCTCACCAAACAAGGGCTCAGTCTTACCCTGACTAGTGCTTCTGGACTAGAGAGCAGAAGCTGATCTCCTTTGTAGATAACCCATCACCTTCATAGCCCAACCAGTCACTGATAACAACCAAAGGTGTTTTCGCTCTATTACGCAGTGTCCATTGCACTGTCAGAATGACACTACTGCTTGTGATCACATAGCCTGTAGCTCTCTAATAACAGTTACTAAGTTATTTCCCTCTCTAACACTGTATTTCAACATGTACATGAAGAAGAAGGCAATGGTGTATAATTTCTTTTTCATGGAATTCTATTACTATACTTTTGCTTTTGTTTGTGTTTGTAGTTAGCCTTGAACTCATGGCACTTTAGTCTCCTTTTGCTTTTATGTTCAAGCATGGCACTCTATTTCTTGTGCCACATCTCCAATTCTGACATTGTTCTATTTAGCATCATGGGTCCCCTCATGTAATGAAGGCACTGCTGGTCTTTGAGCTAGGAGTCCACCATGCAGTCACCAGCCTTTCAATAAAGACTCCAACATTCCACCACTCAAAATGTAGCTTGTCTGTTTTTTCACCTTAAAACATAATAACCTCTAATAGCATTTATATTTTTTCCTTTGAGGAAAGAATAATATCTGTGTATACTATGCTGAACTTATTTTTACATGTGAACCTCCTTTTTTTTTTTTTTGGGTCCGGTCATGGGGCCTGAACTCTGGGGCTTGGGCGCTGTTCCTCAGCTCTTCAGCTCAAGGCTAGCGCTCTACCACTTGAGCCACAGTGTCACTTCCCGGCTTTTTTGTTTTTGCTTATGTGGTGCTGAGGAATCGAACCCAGGGCCTCATGCATGCAAGGCAAGTGCTCTACCACTGAGCCACCTTCCCAGCCCCAGGTGAACCTCCTTTTTAAAAGATCACTAAAGAGGGCTGGGAAGTTGGCTCAGCAGTAGAGTGCCCAGGGTTTGATTC